ATCTCGGATGCCCGTCCCGTGGCAGAAACGGCTAACCAAAGTTTCCATCAACATACCATGATGACTAGTTACTGTCAAATCTAAATTTAACCTAATTAATATAGACGGGTTCATCGAACGCACGCGCGTTACCATGGTCACGCGTCTGGCCCTAAGTTAACTTTCGGTCTGTGTTTGTTTATCGGTCAGACTCACCGTATATAATCATTATAATTATATTATAATATATTATTATAATCTGGTAGTGTAACTTTGTCGCATTTAAGTTTGGCCAAATAACGGTTCTTTTCTTCTACTGGTAACCCAAAATAATAATGACTAGACATAGTTTTAACTTGCTAGCTAATTTACTTGTTATTTATTTCGCTTATTATTAGAAATAATCTACTCTAGAGGGACTTTATTGTTGTTGTTATTGAATGTTTGCAGAAGTGTACCGGAAGTTAAGTTAGAGCCACAAAACCGCGCATGCGCAGTAACGTTTGTTTATGTTGTTGCCGTTGAAACTGTCTATAGGAACTCTGGTAACACTTTACTTGAAGGGGGCATTAAAAATTACATAACTGAGCGAATGACACTTAATGACAGTTGTCATAAACATGCATAAAAACCTTCATATTCAACCTTCAAAACATGTCATGATTATGTAGGTGTCACGTCATGATTATGAAGGTGTCATGTCATGGTTATGCACACCCCTTCAAGTAAAGTGTAACCGGAACTCTTTTAAACAGTGTAAGAAGCTTTCAAAATCTTTTTAATGTTTTTTTTTTTTTTTTTAGCGACAGTTTTTGCTATAGTAATTACAGTGTTCTTTAACTGCCCTGTTGAAAAAACCAGCATATGCTGGTTAGGTATGTTCTGATGCTGGTTTAAGCTGGTCCTTTGCTGGTTTATGCTGGTCCTTTTGCTGGTTTATGCTGGTCCTTTGCCAGCACATGACACCAGCTTAAACCAGCAAAGGACCAGCAAAGGACCAGCATAAACCAGCAAAGGCATGTTTTTTCAACAGGGTGAGATTTAAACATTGACGCTTATGTATTTGTTTTAATTCTTAAAAATGGTTTTAGGAAGCCACTGGCTAGACAAAACATAATGTTGTAACTATCAGCACAGTATAATTAAAGTACATATTAATTTTCTGTCTTCATAGGAAGCTCAAATTTGCGTCAGAACAAGCTGACGCACTCATTTTATGACTGAAATGCATTTGTGCTTCACTTTTGCTAACAAAAACTAAATTATGTATATTGTTTTTTTTTTATTAAGCATCTTTCGAATTAATGCAAAGAACAAAAGTATTTAATTGTTTTAAACACGTGTTGCAATTTTTCTACAGGGTCTTTAAGAACATTTGAAGTGTTCACCCAGGTTAACTTTCCGATATAAACGTCTTTTTCGCCACGAGTACAGCCTATTATTGTAAATACAAATGTATATTTTGACGGAAATATTGAGTGCTGTCATGCATGGTTGTGTAATAAACGAAATACAAAGCACATTGCCATAGCATTTATCTCGTACATGTACTTCCGGTGATAGCGGAAGTACCCGCCGCACGTCCATTAAAAGCAAAATTAATGGCTTTTGTATAAAATACTGTCAAATACAGAAGAAATTAAGAGTTTGCATTGACAAATGCTGCTTGATATCGAGCAAAGAGGCAGTGAGCACCGTGCGTGAGCGGACACCGGAGGTGATTCTCCCGTATGAAGGTACATGATGCTTTTTTCGGGCTCTTTGTGTTGATGCAGATCGTCAGACTGACGGGACGGGCTCTGTGTCAAAACCGAGACAGCTGCCTGTAGGGACAACATTTCTGGACGTCACAAACGCGACTATGAAGAGCAGAATCGCGGTGAATGTCGGCAGCTCGCTCGGCTTTCAGACAGAGTCGTGTTGTTTTGAAGATAAACAGACATCAGTGCGTTATGTGTCATAAAACTGACGAGAAGAGAGCTAATGTAGTAAACAATGGCTGTGGGCGGTGATCTTGTGTAGTTGTTGCTGATAGAAGTGTGTCTTCAGCTTATTCCCCTAATAAAAATAAATAAATAAAAGTACCTTGGTAATGCCATGTTTTTGTTTTGAATATTGTGATATGATATTAATATGCTAATTATTTAGTACGATTGCATATATTGAAATACCATCACTACACCATAATGTGACAGTACTTTGTTTTAAAGGACTAGCCGATCACACTGATACAAGTATAATCTATTGGCTAAAATATGTTGATTTACATGTATTTGCCTGTGCTTTTTTTTATTTACATTAATAATTTAGCAGATGCTTTTATGCAGTGACTTATAAATGAGGACACTAGATACAATCAAACCAATCGTATTTAATCAGCCTAACAATGTAATATTAAAGTAAAAATTTGATTTGAAAAATATAAATATCTTTGTGTTTGATTTGTCACTCTTTTGCTTTAAAGTCGACACGAACCCCATTTGTTTTCTAAATGCATCCTGATCTTATTGTGAACAATTAATGCTTTTTTAATTTGTACAAAAATGTAAAAACAAAATAATGTCATAACTGGATATTCAGATGAAACGATAAACAAAAAAGACATCTGCCTTCATCCAGTCGACAGTCTTCGGATTGAACCAAGTCTCACCCTGCATTATTTTCTTTTTTGATAATCGTTTTAATTGCAACTGACTGTTATCCATGTTATCCAGCTTGATTTAAGAATGATCCAAAGAGCGTCTTACAAGGAAATCTAGCTTTCTGTGCAAATAAGTTCAAATATTTTCAGTGTCACTTATTTATTTCATTAGTGACCCAAAAATAGGTCATAATGTTTCTTAATTTTTTAAACCGTTTCAAAACCCTAAAACATTCTATTTATTTCCAGGTTTAAATTTTGAATGTCCAGATTTTTAAAGTGTCATTCATGTCTTTAAATGATTCATGTCATTTGAATATTACGCAAAATACATACAATGTTAGGCCCAGAAATGTTGGAGACCTTTATGACGTTGTTTTGTAATTATTGAAACCTGTTAACATTTATTTATTAAATCGAAATACTTTTAAGTGGATGCTTAGATATTTGACCCTTTTTTGCTTGCTTACACACTGTTGCTTTTATTGTGTTGGTAAAATCAAGTTCGGCATTTGATTGAAAATTTAACATGAATGTCTTGTTTGATATGTCACAGTTTTGCCTTAATGTCAGTAAACTATTAAATCTATATGCTAAATGCATCTTGATGTTATTATGACCCTTATAGAAGTAAAACTGGTTTCAGCTGCCATTTCATGATTTTAAGTTTATTATATGCAAAAATAATTTGTAATGAAAAATGAATGATTAATCAATTTCATCATTTTATCATACTATAATGTCACATTACTTTATTGTAAAGGACTAGCCGATCACACTGATACAAGTATAGTAATCCATTGTTGATATGCATAAGTGTTCACCTGTGAAAATGCTTTTATTTCGCTTTTTTATTTGAAAAGATATGATCTTTTGTTAATGTGACAACTAATCATATTATCAGCCTAACAATTTAAACAATTGAACTGAAAAGTTGAATTGAAAATGTAACAAATACCTTATCTTATAGGTCACCCTTTTTCTTTAAAGTTGGCATGAAATGGAAATGCATCTTAATGATCTTATTGTGAATGTTACGGAAGTAAAATCGGTTGCAGATGCCATTTCAAGTTTATCATATGCAAAAAAACATGTATTGAAAAACGAATGAATTTTATTATCTCAGGGGAGGAGGCTCAACATGGAGGACTGCTTGCACACTTCCTCTGACAGCCTGGCTAAACTGGTGAAATGGGCCCACAGTCACGGAACAATCTGCACCTTGATCCCCAACCTCAAACACATGCTGAACGAGGGCTCTCACGGGACCCTCACGGCCCTGTGGGGCTGCAGCGCCGGGCACGCCTACCACTGGCCCCTTAACACCACCTGCAAAAAGGGAAACAGAGAACGCAACCAAGAAAGCCGAAGCATCAACACGGACAGCATGATTCAGGCAGTCGCCGTCATGCAGAACATCTCAGAGCGCTTCCTCGGCAGCGCCGCGAAAAACAAGGGCGATTTCAGTCAGATCCATGACTCGTGTGACATCTCCAACTGCAGCGAACCGTCCGAGATGGACGACAACGGCGAGGAGTACAACAGCCACCTGTACGACATCGTCTGCGAGTCCTCGGCTACCGACGAAGACGGCGACTCCGAGTTCAACCACACCTCCAGCGTCACGCACAGGAAAAGAACCGGAAAAGGAGCGGGAACCGAGGACAGCACTGACCTGGCGTCTAAGAAAATCAAACAAGAGAGAGGCGAAGACTATTACAGTGTGGCCAATCCTCAGATGCCCAGCAGCTCGGATGGGAACTGCTCTACCGGAGGCGTTACGCAGTCGCCCAAACCCAACGTCCAGAACAGACCATCATCCAGGTCTTCGATGTCCCAGAAGCCGTCCTCGTTTGACGGAGACTCCATGGCGGTGTCCTCGTCACCACTGGACAGCTCCCCTTCGTCCATGATCAAGCCCCTGCGTGCACCTTTCCACGTTACCCAGAACAAAATGCAGGTGAACTCGAACCCAGCTTGCAGTCAGAGTTTGGCGACCTTGCCCCATTCGGGAAGGATTGACTCTATGGGGGTGCTGCACAGGGACGAGTATCCCAGGTCTTCTTTGTCTTACGGAGAGGCTTCTATGGGTGTAAACCCTGAAATGGATCTTCTAGCAGCGCAGGAACTTAATACAGAAGCTCGAGCAGACAACACAGGTAAAGAGCCTTATCTGCACGAAATGTCCTGGAGTTTGTGATGAGAAGGGGTTGGGAATGTTGTTGCTTAAGTCACACTTAAAATTCTGAATGTCACTGCATTAGATAATATAATATCACATGCATGCGACTTCTGCAAATAAATCCTGCACAAGGTTTTCTTAGAACTGAGCCATTTTTGCAGTTACTTTTAACCAACTGGTGGTTTTTAGTTGTAGTAGCCTGTTGACACTCCTGCAGGGGCCGGTTGCATAAAAGGTTTAGACTAGTCTTGCAAGTTAGTCATCTATATTTTTTCTTTAAGATTGGTGATATGTTTTAAATTCGGTTACATAAAGACATAGATTAGTTAGATTAGAATCCAAAAAATAAGACCGATTACCGCTTGGCTAACTGCTGGTTGGTCAGACTAGTTCTTAAAGGGTTAGTTCACCCAAAAATGAAAATTCTGTCATTAATTACTCACCCTCATGTCGTTCTAAACCCGTAAGACCTCCGTTCATCTTCGGAACACAAATGAAGATATTTTTGATGAATTCTGAGAGCTCTCTGACCCTCACATAGACAGCAATATAATTACCACGATCAAGGTCCAGAACCGTAGTAAGGAGATCGGTTAAATAATCCATGTGACATCAGGGGTTCAACTAGGGCTGGGCGATATAGCTAAAAAATAAAAAAAATATATATATAAAAAATAAAAACATTTCATATCGTTCGGTATCGATAATTATTGACTATTTTATAACCTTTTTTAAAACAAAGCAATAGAATTTTTTTTACATTTAACCACTGTATTTTTAAATTAACACAATTTATTCAGACAAACAACAAATATTTTTGTTTTAACAATCAAACACAAAATAAAAATTAAACAAATATCTAATTTCTAATGTTATATATGCAGATTAAATAGGTCTTAAATAAACTTTTGGCTTGTCTCCCGAGGCCACAATGAGCAAAATAATGCAGCACATTTAAATTGTCAACGCAAGGAAGTAACTCTATAAAAAACCGTGGATTACGTTTAAATTAACAAATAAAAATCAAATATAATTTCGTAAAAAATGTTTATTTTAAATTCGACTAATATTCATTCTTTATTCACAATCTCCTCATCACAGGCAGGCACAGCACTCATTTCAGCATGTGTTAGTGTTTGTGTGTGCTGTCTGCGTCACTCATAGTATGTGCCTATATCATGCGCTATATTGAACATTTTTTCTATCGCCATCGAAGAAGGTGTACCGGCGTTAAATATTGATATCGTTTTATTGCCGAGGCCTAAGTAATTTTACGAAGCTACGAGAATACTTTTTGTACGCAAAGGAAACAAAAATAACGACTTTATTCAACAATTCGTCTCCTCCGTGTCACCCTGGTGCCATTTTGGAGAATATCCACTGAACGCAAACAGCGTATGCTATTCTGTGTCAGCTGCGTCACGCGAATACATTGTTTTCGTTCAAATCAAAACGTATCTGCGTGACGTTTCTGGACATTGATAGTGGTAATTACATTGCGTAAATTGTGTTCCAAAGATGAACGAAGGTCTTACGGGTTTAGAACGACATGAGGGTGAGTAATTAATGACTAAATTACATTTTAGGGTGAACTAACCCTTTAAAGTCGGCATGAAACGGAAGCGATTGTCTTTTCTTCTCTACTGTGACGTATATCCGAGTGAAACGGCATCTGAAATGAGAGGGCGGGACTTGATTTCGTCCTTCAGGAATTGATTGAATCGTTAGAAGCTGGGGCGTTGCTAACAAAATGGAAGAGAGAGAGAGAGAGAGAGAGCGAGCGAGCGAGCGAGACTGCCTGAATGACTGAGCTTAAGTCATATTCATGAAAAAAAATAGTTTGCGATGTCCTAAGAGTAATGTTGTCATAATATTCTAATATATTTTCAATCATAGCTCGTGACCGGAAGAGAAGAGGAGTCGTTTTGAGGGGGAGGAGAGGTTAACATTTTTGATTAAAGATTAAGAGGGCACATGAATAAAAAAAAAATAGTGAAGTGCACGGATAAATTATTTTTAATAAACACCTCAGTATTTCATTAAAAAATAAGAATTTTACATTTAGATTTCATGGTGACTTTAAGCCACCATCTTAAAGGGGTCATATGATGCTGCTAAAAAGAACATTATTTTGACTCTTAACTTTTATAAAGAATATCTCTTTGGATTTGAGACTTTAGTCTTTGCAACTTTACAGATTTTCTTTATGCACCAGGAGCTTGTAACACTCCAAAGAGAAAGGAACACTTGAAATCGCATCATATGACCTTTTAACACAGACTAAGTTTATGCAACTGGCCTCTGTCCTATTTATTAACACTTTTTCATTAAAAGTTCATACATACATACAATTACTTGAATACAACTTTTCTATGATAGGCGTTTTTAATTTCTGAATTAAAAATAATTTTGATATTAATGAAAGCATATGAAAGGGGCAAGTCAGTAATGCCAGGGTGGTACAACTTTACTGATATCATAATGAGGAAAAAACCTTGTTAAAAGAAGGAAATTCTTGAAAATAAAACCTTAAGTAGTTTAGCATAATCTTTTGTTATTATTTCTTAGAAAAAAATTATATTGGTTTTAATAAAACTGCTCCACTTAATATTTGAAATATTAGATTTTTTTAGAATATTTTTATTTAGCTTTAATTTATTTTTTAGTTTTAGTAATTTTAGTACTTCAACTTATTTTATTTCAGTTAGTTGAATGTGTAAAGACATGAAACGATCGGTCTGTGCAAGAAACTGAACAGTATTTATATAGTTTTTTACCTCTGATTTACTGCAATGTCCGAACTGTTCGAACTGTCCTGAGAGCGTTCTCAACAGCAGGCGCCTTCTTCTTCTTGCTTTACAGCGGATCGCAGACTTATAAGTGCATTACCGCCACCTATCTCTCAAATGGACCATTGACACTCTATCTACAATCTCAATTAGGAGTGTCAATCATTTTTGGGTGAACTATCCCTTTAAATATAAACTGTGCTTGGAAATGGATGGAATACACTTTTTAAAAAACCTTATAAATCCAACATGAATATCGGAGTACATTTCTAAGAACTAGAAAATCTTGGACACACTTATTTGTCACATTCTTTTCTATTGTTTTATTTTTTTAATCTTTCTTAATGTTTTGCTGGAAAGGCATGCTTGTGCAATATGTCTTTAAGATAAAGGACACTTGGATTGATATTTTGTTATCTAATGCAATGATATGTATTTCATGTTGGAGCGACGGGATAGTGTTTGAATTCATATTATTCTTAGTGTCGGCTGAGCATTTGTTTGCTTGAAATGAACATAAAACCTTTTAATGATCTCAGAGTGAACATGAAGGTGCTATAAATAATAGTAAAAAGTGAAATTCCAGTGTTGCTCAATCGTTCAGAGCTTTAGAACCAAAGCTGGTGCCTCATGAAATGTACATTCAGTTTGCTTTGAACATTGCTGAATGCAAATTGAATGCTTCTGCATAATTACTTAATCATGCGAGGTAATTTTGTGCCTAACAGCAATCACACTGAATGCAAATCAAATCATTTTAACCAGAAACATCTTAAATAGCCTGAACAAAAATCCATACTTATGATGTACTTGCATAGAAATAGTAAACAAACCCAAAAGGTTAGTATATTCTGCGTGTGTTTGTGTGAGTGCTGCCTCATATTGATCTTCTTAATGACATTTATGACGTTGTCTCAGTCAAGGCCATAAATTAGATTTATCACAACGCAGAAGTGTAACCCAACACTACACAATGGACATGACACAGACTGGGCGTTGTTTAAACCTCAGAAGTGATTCAAGCCTGGCAAAAAAAGAAGAATGCTGCATTCAGGCTATGATTTAAGCTGGGAGTGAACATTTGCTTTTTGCCTACATATTTTCTTTAAAGTAATAGTTGACTCAAAACTGAAAATTTGCTGACAATGTACCCACCCTCTGGCCATCCAAGATGTAGATGAGTTTGTTTCTTCATGGGAACAGATTTGGAGAAATGTAGCATTACATCAGTTGTTCACAAATGGATGCTCTGCAGTGAATGGGTGCCGTCAGAATGAGAGTCCAAACAGCTGATAAAAACATCACAATAATCCACAAGTAATCCACACCAATCCAGTCCATCAGTTAACATCTTATGAAGGGAAAATCTGCATGTTTGTAATGATCTTTCATTAAGATGTTTTTAACTTCAAATCATTGCTTTCTAAAAGTCCTTTATCCATAATATTGCTTTCTCCAGTGAAAATGCCATCTTGTCTGAATCAGGAGAGAAATATGTACAGATGAAGCACTGTTTAGAAGCCAAAACTGTTCTAAATAAATCTGTGGGTGGATTTTAATGTGAGAAGAAGACAGGAGATGGACTTTTTCACTGGAGGAAGCGTTATTATGGATTATGGCCAGAAACAACTGTTTAAAATTAAAACACCTTGTTTTTATTTGTTTCTTACAAACATGCAGCTTTTCGCTGGACTGGAGTGGTGTGGAGTACTTGTGGATTACTGTGATGTTTTTATCAGCTGTTTGGACTCTCATTCTGACGGCACCCATTCACTGCAGAGCATCCACTGGTGAGCAAGTGATGTAATGCTACATTTCTCCAAAACTGTTCTGATGAAGAAACAAACTCATCTGCATCTTGGATGGACTGAGGGTGAGTTACGTTTTGCAAATGTGATTTTTGAGTGAACTATTCCTTTAACAAGGAAAGAGAATGACTGCATTAAGGATAATACAGCTTTATGTAAATATGGATGCAGCATGTTGGTGCTGCTTATGGATTTTTGCTGCTTGTTCAGTGTAGTTAAGTGAAATGAGTAAATGCAACATAATACTTAGGCTAAACATTTTATCGCAATTTTATTGCATGCATCAATTGAAACATTTAAAAGGGAACATTTGCATCGGGACTAGAAGGATAATTTATTATTGGCCATAACTGGATGTATAGAAATCCAGATCCAGACTTTACACAGTCACATTAGAAACTGATTTAGGCCTTATTTAGTTACTTATTTATTAAATATCATGCATCCATGTAGTTTAAAAAAAAATTTTTTTTTAGTACTCTAATTTAAAAAACAAGAACAAACCAGAGCAAATTACTCCAGATTTATTTGTTGTTGAAAATTTTTTGATTTCATAATAACTGATTATTTCAGTTCAGCTCAAATGTTTTCCTCATTTTAATTAAGTTGATTGTACAACAGGTGAAACAAAAAGAAATCGTGCAGATATGACTTTCTCATATTTGTGATACAATTTCTTTTTATCATTACATTATTTCTGCTAACAGTTGCGACAAGAGGGCCAAGCAAAAAATATTAAACTAATATGTTTGACTTTGTGGTTCAGTGTTGTTGTTTTTTTCACTAATTCTAGATTTGTGCTTCATTATGATTATTTTTATGGTAAAATTCTATTTTCTCTCTACATGACATTATGAATAAATTCACTATGACACAGGCAGTTATTTAGTCTTGGTAAGCTAGTTAATGAGATGGCGTCCTCTCCCATTCTGCAATGAGGCATTAAGCTGTTTTCCCAAGAGACTGGGGATATTTGACATTTCAGTCAAGATGGAAATGGATGAGGCTGTTATTGCTTTAACTCCAAATAAACCGCACCAAAATAACAGGTGAGTTTTCTTGACACTTTCTCTCTTTATTGAGAGGAAAATGGATATGTGTAGATTTAATGTTGTTAATAAAGTGTCATATGATTATGTGTTTAAATGCTTAATAGATAATATTCATAATGTTTATGCGGACAAACTATAATTTTATTCTGTTTACAGGTTCACACGAGAAGATGGATTATGCTGTGATTTTGAAAGCCCTCCATGGTTAGTTTTTTTGTGCAAGAACTTGTTAAGCTCTAAAAATACTGCAGTTTTATATTAATTGGTAAATCTCACAGAACCTGTCAATAACCTATCCAGCTCATATTTACCTAAAATTAAAAGAAGAGAATAAGTAATTATTACTTAATAATAATCATTATTACATTGACTATTTTAAGAAACACTATGATTTATTTTTTTTCATTGTGAGATTTTTATGATAATTGTTGTAACACTCTTTATTAAGCTGTTACGAAAAATCATATTCTTCTTACTACAGTTATATATATTTATACTTTTATATATTTTTATTATAAAAATAGATATATATGTATTATTTACATAATAGTAGTAGTTTTGTACTGGTTTTAATTTTCGCTGAATTAAAAAAAACTTATAGTAATCAGAAATATGTTAAAATTGTGAGAAAAAAAAGTTAGAATTTGGCAGGAAAATGCTTATTTTTATGTAGAAATGCAAGCAATCTTAATGAATCTTTGTGGGTTTTTTTTTTAGCACAATACATTGACAGGTTTTGTGATATTCACCTTAACACTGCAGCTGTGCTGTGGTACACTAGTTGAATTTTTCCTCTGTATTTATTTTTATAATAAATGAATTTGCATGAGGCAAATGAGTTTGGAGGAAACTTTGCATCATGGCAAATAAAATAAAATTTCTCTGATGAAAATGGCTTTATTTGTCTGTGGACTTGCCAGTTGAATGAACTGAAATACAGACCAGTCCTTTACTGTGATGTTGTGTGGGAAATGCATTTGGTTTGAAGTGTTGTGCATTTGGTTTCTGCCAGCTGATTGTTCTGGACAGAAGAGTTCATCCTCTATTAAAGCTCCTAAAACGCTCATTTAATGTATTACAGAGCATCTGATTCCAGCTGCACACAGTTCAGAAGAGCAGTTCTGCCCGTCAGATCTCAGTCCAAGCAGTGAGAGGTATTTTGAAGAGAGAAAACACCTGGAAGAGTTTATAACAAGCATAGGTGAGCTAGCAGTCCAGTACAAATCTACATCAGTAGCAAATTCAACCGCAGCTATATCAGTTTATTGTAATTGTGATTGATGCGCTGTCAGATATGTCAACTGGGAAATTCTTTTTAATGTATGTCTCATTATTTATGCAGATACGATAACTCTACAAAACCTGCAGACGGTCATTGATCGAATCCTGGTCTTTCACGAGCGGACGCAGATGCCTCTGTCCAGTCCGGCTCGACTGGGAGAGCAGGAGCTGTTTCCTGGGAGCGGACTCTACCTGCCGCACTACAAACTGGCGTCCATGCTGCAGGAGTCCCGGCAGGACAGCATGAGACTCTTCCACCTGCTCTTCGAGCACTTCTTCAGCGAGGAGGATCTTAACGGGGCCGTCGCTTTTGGAAAGAGGGGAAAAGTACCTGATGGGAAAAAGATCTTGGACCGAAGAAGAGTGGATGGGATTATGTGTAAGTATTTGAAATGGGACAGCTGACTTTTACTGAACATCCTAAAATGATTTAGGGCTGCGCATTTTTCTAATTTTTTATAAATGTTTTAGATTTTTTTTAATCAATTTACAATTTTTGATGGAAGCCCGTTTCCACCACTGAATAAAAAATCAAAAAGGTAATTGTGACTTTTTATCTCAATTTTCGGACTTTTTTTCTCATAATTGCGTGATACAAACTCGCAATTCTGACTTTTTTTTCTCAGAATTGTGTGATATAAACTCGCAATTCTGTTTTTCTCAGTTTTTCTCTCGCAATTCTGACTTTATATCTCGCAATTCTGACTTTATATCTCGCAATTCTGACTTTATTAATCAATAAACAAAACTGACATTTTTAATTGTAAAAAATATTTCACAAAATATTACTGTTTTTACTATATTTTTGATAAAATCATAAGAGACTTATTTCAAAATCATTCAAAAATTTTATTGATCCCAAAACTTCAAACATTACAGCCTTTTGCTGATATTAAATATATAGCTTAATATTTATGTCTGTTCACGCTTAAAGGTGCACTAAGCGACTAAGCGAAACGATGTTGATATTTGAAAGCACCAAAACAAACACACCCATACCCATACCCTAACAGGACCTCGCCCTTATTTTGATAACTCTGCCCCACATGTACGTACACAACCCTGGCAGCGACGATGGATGTCTGCTGGCCGCAGTATATTCAAGCAAAAGCCAACACAGAAAATTTGTGTGAAAAAGCTAAATCAACGTAACTCACCGATCAAGAAGAAACAAAGCAACCTCGGCGTCCTATTCCCTTCCGCTCTTTGAGTTTCTCCACCACTGGAAAGCTGCGCCAATATTTACGCGGGTATGATTGTATTTGTAACCCTTCATTTTAATGTTTCGTTCCTCCAAAATGTTCCTCTTTTTTTTTTTAATCTGCCATCTCTCGCTATCTCTAGTCGTTATGTTTGATATTTTCCTCTTTTTTTTTTATCTGCCATCTCTCTCTAGTCGATCTGCTAATATCCATCCTGTGCACTCACTGAGCGCTCTCTCTTCTCCCCATCATTGCTAGACACGCCCCTTACTGCTGATTGGCTGCAAGTGTGTTTGGGACTCGGTCTGACACTGTGGTCAAAAGTGTTTTTCAAAAATCGCTTAGTGCACCTTTAATACAAACAATAATTTCATAAAGCTGTGAAATGTGTGATTGGCCTTTGGAGACTTCAAAGATGCTATGTTTACATAAATGGACCATGGTGAAAGCATGATACGACTGAATGCAAACATAACTAAAAAAAAAAAAAAAAACTAATTAGGGATGTTCTACACTGTTTTTCACTAAATGATGAAGGAATTTTTGTAATTTTTTTTATTATTTAATTACGCTGATATAACAATGCATAATATTAAGAAACAGTCATGTATACATATATTTTTATTCAAACATTACAATACATGAAAAATGCCACATGGCTTGAGTTTTGAGTGATGATACAAACACATCACTGAGTCAGTTTGAATCGGTTCATTGAACCTGACTGATTCACAGAACTGATTCAACTTTAACACAGTTTTGCTACTGAAATTTAAGTCAGAGTTCATTGAACCTGACTGATTCACAGAACTGATTCAACTTTAACACTGTTTTGCTACTGAAATGTAAGTCAGAGACTATTAAAACATTACTTAACATTACTTAAATTTAATAACATGCACTTAATAAAAGTGCATTCAATCATTTTAGTTTATATTGTGAATATTGTTTATATTACAGTGACTTGTGTGACTATTGTTTGTTTCAAAGCCTTCAGCCTTCAGTATTTTCCCCTAAAATATTTTTAATTAAAATGTAATTTTCTTTTTTTCCTTGCAGCATATGTTCTGCGTTGTTCTACTATAGACGGATGGACACCTGTGGAATCATCTAAGCTGAAGAAGGCCTGTATTAATAAATGCAGGCTTCGAATCGGTCAGAAAAAGAAGCAAGAATCTTCTCAAGAGTCCTTTATTTTTTGTGACGAACAATCTTCAGGCAAAAATGACCCTTCCTATATGTAACTGCTGATTTCCAAAAATTTCCATTCACGTGCAAATGTTATTATTATACATACGGCTGAAAGGAAACACAATGTTTTGGCCAGTGGTTTAATGGAAGCTACCGGTCAGTGTCTTGGACATAAACGATTCAGTTTGGAATCGTTTAAAATTGATTCAGTTTAGCTACAGCACTAACAGATGAAAGATTCACAGTCAGACACATGAACTATTTCCATTCATTTCAACAAAACCAACATTATCTATACTGTGATAGTTACTGACTATTGACATGTTTAGTCAACATAAACCTGTTTATAACCATTTAAACCTTTAAAATAGTCTAGTACTTATTCATATTAGTATTCATGTAGCATTGTAACAATCCAGACAAGATATTTTGAGTTTTGTCAAACCATTTTGATGGTTTTTACTCATACCCAATATCTTTAAATATAAAAATGTGAATTATCACTATATCAAAACCACCTTAAACTGTATTTTATTGCTTTTTCTAACTTTTTTTTCCTCTGCTGGTTCCGTGGGATGATCTGTTTCATCACTCTGCATCACACTAAATTGACAATAGCGTCATTCCTTGTCCATGACTGACAGAAAAATGTTTATTAGCATCCTACAAAGTTTTATTACTCCACTGTTTCTTAATACATTTGTAATTTTTACCCAAGTGAAATCATGTAGAGCAAACATCATATAACAGCGTATAAAGTTACTGCCAGAAATGTGAGATTAGGTTACTACTCAATATAAACAACCAGACAATTAACAACTTCTCCGTTCACGATATCCCAAAATGTCTTACTATGAGATGTTGCAGTGAGTGTGTAGTGAAAAGGTTACTCAAGGGCTCCCATATTTACGATATTTAATGGTATTCTTTGGATGGCATTAGTAAAGCAGACTCTAAAAGGCCGGAAGGCTCAGTAAGTCAGATCACTTTTCACAACCAAGTATTATGTTTCTTATAAAAACTGGCATCTGGTAGGTATATCACATTGTCCGTAAGTGTTTAACGTAAAGGAAAAAAAATGACATTAGCATTTATTATGGTTATGAAAGGTCAGTCTTTTCATAATGGTTAGAAAGTTTTCACCTGACCGGTTTTAAGTGTTTTGTTTTTGTACCTACTACCTACACACTGATGCTGAACTTATTTTAGCACTTCTACGAAGACTGATGTTCATTTTCAAGTGTGTAAATACTCCATCATCCTGGTGTGTCTTAAGTGGTCTTATTTGTCAATTTCTGATGCGTTATAATAAAATCAATGACCAAATGTTGTTTGTGATCCATTTTTGCCTTGAATCAATTGTAGTTATTTAGCTTTTTTTTTTTTTTGCAGCATATGTCCACTTCTTTTATAAGATAGGAGTTTTTTTTAATGACTGATTCTTTATTCAATGTATTTTTATTACTGAATCTTGCTTTTACCAGTCTGCATCAATCATTTGGTGGCATTACTTTGAGGTATGGTTTTTTTTCAGTCTTTAACTTTATGCTTTTTAATGAAATCACAAAATGAATGTATTTGAGTAGGCCATGGTAGAAGTAGCAAAAATAAACCCACTAAAAGAAAAGGCATTTAAAGATTTAAATTTAAACCTCTCCAAATAAAGGCAAATAAATCGGTCCAAAAGGGTAGTTTTTATCAAGTAACAAAAACTAACAACAAAAGAAATGATAACTGGAACACATTTGACAGTTTTACATGGCAATCAAAATAAATTGTACTGGAAAGAGAAGTGATGTGTTTTGAGATGTTACTACATTGAAAAGATGTACACAATTTAGATGTATCTCTCTATGTATCTGACACACCCATTTCAGGTCTTGGAGTCTCTATCAATGAGTTGATGAGTAGATTCAGGTGAGTTTGTTTAGGGAAACATACAAAATGTGCAGAATCGGGAGTACTTGGGGACTAGGGTTAGGAACCACTGCCTTAAACCAGTACTGAACTGTATGTTTACCTGCCCTGTGCAGGACTACAAGGAATATGCTCAGCGCAGACCTCAAGCAATGCTCTTTGAAGATGCCCCCTTTTATCTGTCCATCAAGCCTGTGGTCAGCCTCGCTGCCCCGCATTGGTACAACTGCCAAGCTCTGGGAAAGAACAAATTAGCAAAGATGGTGAAGACCATGTGTGAGAAAGGCAACATTCCAGGGAGAAAGACCAATTTCAGCGTTTACCAGAGTTGCAGCTCCTTGTCCGAGGCCCAGAGCAATCAGCTAGTCCTGATCTGCAATGACCTCAGGCAACAAGCCGTCCAGTCAGGGAGTTCCCATCCTGGCAGCACCAACTTTGTCATTGCTGGTTCTTTTGACTCTACTGACTCTGCTTAAAGCTGAAGTGTAATTTTTGAGCCACTAGTAGCACCAAACCAATCTGCTGTTTCCGAACAAGTTTCCCAAACACTTCTTCCGTCTTCCATTTTTTTGGACAAGCAGGTAGTCCTGGCCCAAAAGGCATTTGTTGAGCAAGAAGTTGATGTTTTGGACGGCTTAAACCAATGAGTCAAGGTTCGGATGATTAGAATGATTCAGTTAGCCACTGTAGACAGATGCCTAGACCAGGAGTTACCAACCTTTTTGACATGAAGTGCCATTTTTATTTGTTTTTTTTCCCCCATTTAAAATTAGCTGTTCTCTGATATAGTTATCTTTGCCAAGTGATTTTTTGGAGGGCTCTTCAAAGCCTCAAATGTCTGCTGCCTTTTGTGTCACTCAGGATAGTCGCTTGTGAAGGGCTTGGGACTGTGCGTGTTCTTGTGGTGCCATCAGCCAATCAGTGTTGTCAGCATGTCACAATGTAATTTTGCAGTGGCTCCAGAGTTAATAGTCACATGGCATTCACAGCTCAAATAATTGGATCAGAAAAAAATCTTTATCTAGAACTGTCCATGTTCAAAGATAGTGGATACTTCCAGAGGTCTTGCACCAGCTGAGCAACTGCCATTTGGATAAATGGGAATGCTAATGCATATATCTCTCTTTAGGTATGGCTTGAATAAACCAATGAAAGGGCCACAGAGCCACTGTGTCTACACTCCTCAGAAAATCAATCTATAAATTGCTGCGTGGGATAGGAGAAAGTATTTTACCACTGAAAAAAATACATATGGCAGCTTTAAATTCAATTGTATGACTGACTTAGGCAATCTTGTTTCATGTCTCAATGCTCTGTTCTTTTAGGTAAGCAAAGTCTCAATTGTTGTTTCTGTCAATATGTATGAAACTACAATGTTGTCTTTTTGTCTTGATTATATTATAATTACACTTGTCTTATGTGCAATGCAAAATGTTCTTTATCCAGTGCAGTATTAAGTCAGCTTAAGGCATTTGGATGCTAATTTTGTGTTAAGGTATTTTTACTGTGTACGGCAACAATTATGAGTTTGACGATGAAGCTAATACCGTATGTCGATCCAGTTATTCCGTATTTGTTGTAGACATATGAATGTAGTGGAACTAATCCTGCTATCTTTCGTATATATTCCTGTTTTGAAAATGTTCTGTGTTAGTGTAGATGTTCTCTTCAATAGCACTTATTGGATACGTTACATTGTTAGATGCTGTGTGTTAGATTTATTACAGATATGTGCCTGCTCAACATATGTGCCTGATATTATATCATTTATTCTAGAACATACACAACGAGGATTATTTAAGGTTACAAAAACAAACAAAATGGTTAAAAAATAAAGTTGAGAAACAAATATACAACCATAAATAAAGCAACCCTGCAATATGAATACGGTCAGATTTTTTTTCTTTCTGGTTTTTATCTCACATGGCTCAGTTTTAGAACTACGAAATTATTTGTGGACCACACAATTCCACTAACACGACATTTTAAAAAATTTTTCAGCTCCACTGATTATTCCATATCACAATTAGTTGCAAATATGAACTGTATTACAACGCTATAGACCAATTTCTGTGTTTTCCAACAGTGATGACGTTTTTTTGTGGGCGGAGCTTATCTGGTGGCAGAACGTGACAGCTTTAAAATAAAAGAATAAAAAAAGGTAATTTTGAGTTTATATTTCAAAATTCAGACTTTTTTCTCACAAATTCCGAGATTATATTTCACAATTCTGATAAGAAAAATCAACTCGTCATTCTCTTTTCCCCTCGGCTCAGAATCACGAGTTTATAATCCCACACTTCTGGCTTATTTTCCCTCAGAATTGACAAACTCGCAATTGTTGAGTTAAATTGAGTTATAAAATCCGAACTAGGAGATATAAACTTCAAAAAAAAGTCAGTATTGTGAGAAAAAATAGGTAACTGTTATAGGTTGAAATAGTAGTCTATTTCATGCTGTAACTGCAGGAATAATTCAATATGTCTCCTATGAATTGCATATGCGAATATTATGTAGACATATTATTTAAATCAAATTTAGGCCTTAAAAGTAGGGTAATCATAGCAGGTTTCATCCATAGTCCGTCCATTTAAACGTCTGCGTTTCGCTTCAAATGGTGTCTTTGGTGATTTGCATTCTGATTCTGACATCTAAAGGTACAACAAACTTTTTTTTACTTATTCCATGGATTTGACCCGTTTCCCTCCACTTGTTCCCAGTGTTTTTCTGCCACCACAATGCACGCACAGCTGCATGTGACGTAACTGTGTTGTCTACTCTGTTAGTTCCCCTTGTGTTAGCCCTGCCTTTGTAGCTCCCTTGTTAGTTTATATATATAAAATGACAGCACAAATAGTTACGTTTTCTCCATTTTATGTAAAATCATGAAAAAATACTGACTAGCATACAGCAATCTAAAAAACAAAAACCTTTACATTAATGAAAAATCTAAGTCATCTAGCATGTCCACATTAGAACTTCGACTCGAGTAGCAAGTTTTTCCAAAACAGTAAGTCAGTCCTTATAGCTAATGTTTATTTACTCCGGGTCGAGTCTGGGCAACACAGGCAGTATAAGGTTACCAAAGGAGGAATCCTGAGTGATGAAGAAGCCGGATGAGTGTGCATGTGCATGCTGAAACCAAACCAGAGAAAAATACGCATCTGAAGGACATTATCAAGAATAAACGAATGCTAAAAACTCCCAACATGAAGCTTACAGTACCTGTAAAGCTGCTTTCTGCTGTGCTGCAATGTGCTGCTGTTCGGCCTGATCCCTGAACTCCTTTACTGCTGGTCGAGAGAGTGGAATGCTAGGAAAGAAAGGACAAGTACTGCATAAGTTATGAGTATGCAAAAAGTAGATTATTGCTAGGACAGATACTAACTTAACAGCAAGAGAGAAACCCTGTAAAACACAGATATGTTTATAGTGCTAGGTGTGGTTAAAGCAGTACCTGGCTCCTGGGTTATTCATAGACTGGCTCTGTATGAGGCGTCTCTTCTCCTTATCGAGCTCAGCTAGAATAGCAACCCTGTTTTTGTTTTGAAAACCTACTGAGGTCAGATGTACAGATTAAAATTAAGCAACCAGTGAAATTGAAAATTCGCAAATCTAATAGAACAGCGCGAGAGAGCGACACAACGACTGATTAAAGCTTCATTCGTCAATGTGTGACGGGCTACTTTGTGTATACTTTGTCATTTTTTAGGGATTTACTTTGAAAATGATTTTAACGGTAAATGTCACAATCCACGAGCTTTAAATTAATATCAGAAATGACAGTCCAGCTGTTTCTGGCGTCTGATATGCTACAGTATTTACCTTGTCCGGGCGGATTCGCGGCCATTTTACATACTCTAAATCTAAATGTGAAACAGTAGAAACTACTTTAAAAATCTACGCCAAATGAATAAATTGAATGTAAAACGGACACACGGTGTCCTATGCTCTGATAGAAGAAGCAGCTCTCTCTCTCTCTCTCTCTCTCTCTCTCTCTCGCTCGTGAAAAGTAGGGTAATCATAGCAGGTTTCATCCATAGTCCGTCCATTTAAACGTCTGCGTTTCGCTTCAAATGGTGTCTTTGGTGATTTGCATTCTGATTCTGACATCTAAAGGTACAACAAACTTTTTTTTACTTATTCCATGGATTTGACCCGTTTCCCTCCACTTGTTCCCAGTGTTTTTCTGCCACCACAATGTGCGCGCAGCTGCATGTGATGTAACTGTGACGTCTACTCCAAATTGGTCTATTTTGCTGTATTGTTAAATTTTGCCTTTGGAATTGAGAAAAAGATTTTGTTTTTGTAAACTATTGTGGTTATTAGATGGTACTGAACCTGAATCTTGATAGAAGAAGCAGCTCTCTCTCTCTCTCTCTCGCTCTCTCTCTCTCTCACTCTCTCTCTCGCTCGTGTTCTTCGGTAAGAGCTCGTCGCGCTGCAGCGCCGCCTGGAGAACTGGAGCGACTGAACGCTTGGACTGCGGGTGAGTGTGTTTGCTTCTTCTTCTTCTTTTAATTTTAATTTTATTGGCGGTTGGCAAACCAACTTAAAGGTAAAGAGTGTGTTTGCTTGCGCTACATTTTAAAAATAAATACAAATTACATGAATGAACACGAATAGGCAAAAACAATAAATCATCAATAAATGTTTAGGTTTCAGGATTTTGTTTTATTCCAAACTTTGTATAATGACGATTCTCAGCTATTTTATGAAAGACAGTGTTGGGCTCGATACTCCAAAAATGTAATTTATTACTCGTTACTAGTTACTCCTTTCAAAAATAATATTATTACTTATTACTATCTGGCAACAGTAATTAGTTACACTACTAGTTACATTACTTTTCCTTCACGCCCTGTTTTTATACAGTCTATGTTCACACGCCCCACAGTAGTTGTAATTGTGTATCTTCCCCATAAAATTATTCATAATTTGACCAAAATCTACATTGGACCGCAGTTTTTACAAACGCTCAATGTAACGTCCACATCTGTGTTCAGATCAGCTTTTCTCCTGACAAAACCAGTGCAGTGGCGATATTTCCATCCCCTGAATGTAAGCTTTTCCATATTCCAAGCTTTCCTGATGCACTGCTGGCTTCATGTGCCTGTGCGAGTCGTGAAAATGATGAAAATAAATCTAGGAATTATTAGATTGAGAGATTTCAACTCAGTAGGGGTTGAGGCATCAAAAGTAACCAAGTAACGAGCAGTGTTGGGGAAAGTTACTTTTAAAAGTAATGCATTGAGAGTTGTCAATCAATAAATTGGAAAAAAAAAAGTAACTTGCGTTACTTATTTGAAAAAGTAACTCAGATATTCTCTTGTAAATTAAAAAAGTAATGCGTTACTTTACTAGTTACTTGAAAAAAGTAATCTGATTACGTAACTCACGTTACTTGTAATGCGTTACCCCCAACACTGGTGACGAGCTGTTTTATGGAGGGTAACTGTAATATTAATAGTAATTAGTTACACTACTTGTTACTGCAAAAAGTAATATTATTACAGTAACTAGTTACTGCCCAACACTGATGAAAAATATAACAGAATGATTTGATATACGATTTTGCTTTATGCAGTATGTGTGTAAAATGGAGGTTCTCAGGAGGTTAATGACACTGAAAATACATTTTCAATGTAGTTCAGAGGGATTTTAATTCTGATACATGGTGTTTTAATCATGGATAGACATGGTAAGTGTTAAACAGAAAAGAAAGGACAAACAGAAAAAAAAAAATGAACAAACGCAAACACTACAGTCTGCCTCATCATATGAAAACATGGACACATTTATACATTAGTGAAGGGTTTCATTTGTGAAAAAACATGGCAATTTTCAGAAAGGTACAAAGGAGCACTAATGTTCATTTACATTTATACAAGATAACATTGACTGGCTATACCTATACGTACACAGCTATATGAACTCATTGTTCATTATCTTCTTTTTTGACAAAAGTAAAACCTGAAAATCATTTGCATGTGTCAGAAATCGAATGGAGGAAAGGGTCTGGAATATGAACAGCGTTTGAATATGAACAACTAAAACTGGGAAGGTATGACCAAGTTTTGGATGGCACAGGTGAGGAACCCTGCATTATCATGTCTTCTCTACAGCAACTGAGAAATATTGCAGGCATATGCATAATTTGGAAGATGTGGTTTTGACAATATTAAAAATCAAAAGACAGCTCCAAAACAGCTGATGAAAGACAAGAATGCAATAATGTGAATCAGGAGTCGTCTAGCAGATTGCTTGCAGTCATGCAGCTAAATAATCTTTACTATTAGTTATGAGGATATTCACATAAAAAGGCCCTGAGTAGAGAGATGGTTATTAAGGCATAACAAGGTGAATAAGCAGTTTATTTCATGAAGGTCTTGAGGAAACATCGCCCTTTTCCACACTTTTATTAAACGGGTTGTACAGGCACACACTTAACCAGCTGTTTGATAGTGAAATATAAATATATGTGCTGTGAAATGTAGGGCAGATCAGAAACCTTCAGCTATAAAATGTCAAAAATATCACATGGCTTCATGACTTTGTGTGATGGTCTGTTTAGTGATGAATAAAAGCTGCATTCGACAAGCATATTTGAGAGTCTGGGAAAGATATGATTATTAAGTTCCTTCATTGTCTGATATATTAAATAAAACTGAATACAATCAGACTAAAGCTACTGGCAGATTACATGCAGCAGGTTTTTCATTTTTCATCTAGGCTATTGTTAATGCTTAATCTGTGTTTAAGAAAGCAGACTTCCACTGTGCACAGCGAGGAATCATTTGAGCTGTTTTGTGAAAAGGCACTATGTAAAATGAAGTCCTAAAAAGCAGCCTGTCCTCTCTTAAATAATGCCTAAAAGTCTGTATTAAGCACCTGTGCCAACCAAATCATGGCTTCAGCCAAACCTAAAGACCACCTCGAGTTGATGAATTTGTTTTTGCACTTTTGACTAATTTGATCTACCCTAGAAACATTTTAGATCACATTTGATACATTTTACTTGCCTTCAAGAAGGAATAGGCATTAATATAGACCACATTATGCCAGTGAATCACAAACAGAGTCACACGTCATATTTCACCCCAAAACCTCAAAATGTAAAAAAAAATGTATATATATTCTATATCAATCTAATTTTTGATTCTCATTACTGTAAATTTTTGCTACTAA